CTTTATTGAAGTTATTGAATCTAAATGTGATAAAAATCAAACGAGTTAAAATTTATACTAACTTAAAAAGAATTAAGAAAAAATGCAAAAAATTCATTGCCATATGCGGGTTGGAACCTCGTACCCCAAGCGTGTAAAACATAAATTTTACCAACTCGGCAACCGTACGTTGCTTCCGGCGGTTGAAAAATTGGCTATTTAAGCTAGTTCAAATTTCAAAGTTATTTTTCTCGACTTAAAAGAAACAAACATATTTAAATAAGTTTAACTATCTATACTATATCAATTTTAATTTATATAATATTTATGAAAATCTGTACTCCCCTTGTCAGGTATTTTAAAATAAAATAAAATACAAAACCCAGAATTTTAACACAAAAATAGCATATTTTTGCATACGGTAGTCATTTTTACCATGAAGACAAATCCAGAGGTCAAATTTTTTTTTTTCACATTAAAGTATATTACATAAGCTTTAATTTAAGATATATTTAAAAGTGTCAGTATTTCCGGAATACTTTCAAAAATTAAATTGAAAATATCGTAGTAACAATACGCATGTTTAAAGTTTTGACCCCCCTTGTTAAAGGGGTATGATCCGATTTACAAAAAAAGCGTGCCAGATGAAAGGGGTATATAAATATTTATTATAAAAAAATAATAATATTGATCCATACATTTTTCCAAAAGTTATATAAAATATAAATTAAATAATATAACATATAAAATCGAGATTTTTTTCACGGAAATCGTACGTTTTTCTTTAACTTTGATGTCCGTTTTCACCACGAAGACAAGTCCAGAGGTCAAATTTTTTTTTTTCAAATTAAAGTATATTACATAAGCTTTAATTTAAGATATATATAAAAGTGTCAGTCTTTCCGGAACATTTTCAAAAGTTAAGTTGAAAAAGTTCTACTTTCTATACGCATTTTAAAAGGTTTGCACCCCCCCTGTATAAAGGGAAATGGTCCGATTTTAAAAAAAAGTATGTCGAATGAAAGAAGTATATATAAAGTATTTATCATTAAAGAATAAAGTTGATTCATGCATTTTTTAAAAAGTTATAGCAACATAATGTTAAAAAATGTAAAATATAATATCAAGAATTTTTTCACAAAAATAGCATATTTTTGCATACGGTAGTCATTTTCACCATGAAGACAAGTCCAGAGGTCAAATTTTTTTTTTTCAAATTAAAGTATATTACATTAGCTTTAATTTAAGGTATATATAAAATTGTCAGTCTTTCCGGAACATTTTCAAAAGTTAAGTTGAAAAAGTTAATTTTTTGTAAAAAAGTTACCATTTTGAAACCCCATCCTTTGGGCTGTTAAAGGGTCAAATGTTCACAAAAATATATAAAATGATAGGTAATTATCTAAGGTATCTATAAAAAAAAAAATTATATTGATTCGGTCATTTTTAAAAAAGTTATGGCAATTTTAAGTAAAAAAAAATGAAAAAATATCGAAAATTAGCGATTTTTAAATTTGTAATTTTTTGGGGGATTTCCCCCGTTTACGAAGAACGAGGGAATTTTTTTCAATTTTTGAGGGTAATGTCTTCGACTAGATACGATTTGTGATCTTTTGACATATTTTTCATCAAAATTGGTTCAGTGAGAGCTGAGATTGAGAGTATACAGACACAAAAAAAAAAAAAACACATCATAGTAAAATTAATACCTTCTCAGCTTCGCATCGAAGCTAAAATACTATGTATAATCAATACTATTATCTAACTACTAACTGTAGTCTATGTTGTTATACAGCTTTGATATATCTTCTTTTACATTTATATCTTTGTACACGTTTTAAGTTAGAAAATAATAAAGTAATATTTTTTTTATAAATAGATATTTTTGTTTCATAAAAATAAATTGTTCTGTTTGAAAAAATTTTAAATTAAATAAAAATAATTAATTTTTAAAAATTGTATACCTATTAAGATTTTTGCCGCCCGGGGCAAATGCCCCCAATGCCCCCCCCTAAATGCGAGCCTGCTTATACGCACTTTATCTCCAATTTAAAATTTTTTAACTCCTTGTTTAATATTACGTTGATGTAGTTTTATAGATAGTGGGTTAGAGTCTACTTCTGTGTATGTGCTGTTTATTGTTCCGTGATGTGAGTTATTGTATACTCGCATGAAAGTCGGTGAAATACTTATCCAATTGCTAGAGCCACACGTAGTAAACTGTTTATAAATTTTATTTTTTTATGTATGATTAAACCGTTCTACTATGCAACTTTTAGTTCTTGAAAATGTTGAGTATCTTTTAATATTGTACTTTTTTAAAATCTCATAAAAATTTTTATTATAGAATTCAGTTCTGTTGACAACTTGTAAAAACTTAGGCCTACGAAAGAAAATTACCAACAAATATAATATATATAATATAATCATTGACTTTGTTTTTTTTTTTTTTACACGACCGGCCTACATGTGGGCCGCCCCGGAACTACCGTTAGGTATTACCTCAGGGCGGCCCATGCCGTCTCTAAAACTCACACCACCACGTTGTGAATCAGCCCGAAATTAATCAAGAGCTGATTCACAACGTGGTGTGGCCTCCCCCGTTAGCCGGATCCCAAAATTCGAGATCCGGTGCCCGGGTTGCACCACGTGGAGGTGGGGGCAGGACTTTGCGAAGGGGGCATAAAATAACTCACAAACACGTAAACATAAACACACGAATACCTAAGGCGCCGGCCTAAACCAGCGCCTTAGGTCCTCCTGCACCGGGCGGCGCGGCTGCCGCTGCCTCAGGCGTTCGGCTTCCGCCTTCCCTTTCAGGACGGATTCGGCGAACACCTGGACGAGCCTCCACGCCTCCCGGCTTCCCAACATCAGGTCCACTAAGGACCCGACGCGGATCGTGGACCCCAGACGGGACTCCAGCGAGTCCCGTTCCTTGGCCCACGCCTCGCACCGGAAGAGAGTGTGCAGAGCGTTGTCTGCCTCTCCCGGGCGATCCTGGCAGTGGTCGCACGTCGGCGCGGCTGCCCTCCGAATACCGTGAAGGTATTCGTTGAAGCAGCCGTGGCCGGACAACACTTGCGTGAGACGGTAAGACATCTCACCGTGTGTCCGGGCCACCCACCTCTCCAGGCGGTCGGGTCCTATGAGGGACCTGGTCCACTCGCCTCTCTTCGTTTCCTCCGAGAGGCGAGCCCGCCACCGGAGCATGGTGGTCCGCCGGAGCGCCAACCGGTCCTCGGGTTCGAGGGGTCGGTCGCGCTCTCGGCGGAGCTCATGTCCGGCGGCCCGTTCCGCGGCTAGCAGGTCGGCGGGCGGCAGTGACGACAGTATTCCCGCCGCCACTCCGGAGACCGTTCGGTAAGCCGATACGGTCCGGATCGCCGCGCGCCTCTTCACCCGGATCAGGGCTTCGCGGTTCCTGGGCGAATACTCGTGGGTATCCGCCCAGACCGGGGACCCGTACAGGAGGACCGAGTGAACGACGCTGACGAGGAGTCTGCGCCGCATCTCCCTCGGTCCTCCCAGATTGGGCATGAGCCCCGCCAGGCTGTCCATGACTTTCTGGGCCCGTTGGGCTGCACGGGTGATGTGCGGCCCGAACATCAGACGTCTGTCGAAGACCAGACCCAGATACGTCATGGAATCCCTGAGCGGGACGTCCACCACCAGCACGGTGAGCCGCTGAGGAGCGAACTTGTACCTGCCCGTGAACAGGACCGCTTCGGTCTTGTCCAGGGCGAGGCTCAGTCCGCTCCCCTCCTGCTGGATCCAGGCGGTGACTGCGCTAAGAGCGCAGTTCGCCCGGGATCCAGCTTCCTCGGACGAGGCGCCTTCCGCCACCACCAGCGTGTCGTCCGCATAGCAGACGATGCGCACGCCCGGTGGTAGCGGAACGCGGAACACCGCGTTGTACGCGATGTTCCACAGCAGAGGCCCGAGAACCGACCCTTGCGGGACGCCTCCCGTCACAGGTCTGGTTCTCGGGCCCGCGGCGCTCTCGTATGTGATGACCCGGTCGCCGAAGTACGACCGGATCATCCGCCCGAGGTACGGAGGCACCCGAAACGCGTCCAGCGCTCCGAGGATGTGTGACCATCGCACGGAGTTGAACGCGTTCCGGATGTCCAGGCTCACCGCCACCCCGAAGCCCGGTCCGTTCTCGGCTCTGAGGGCCAGGTCCCTANACCCCGGTCCATATAATCATAGACTCACTTTGGGAAACCTCACTCCGTATAAGAATTAATTTCAATAAATTTATTATTATTCAGAAATTCATTAGCACTTACATAGAATTTAATCACTATCCAATAGCTGAATTAGCAATTATTCTTAAAATAACGATCGCATTAAAATATATTTACGAGCATACGATTGAACAAATTTATGATAAAATTCCAAATTTATATCCTCAAGTTATAACCTAAGTATAAAAGTTATATTAGTTTTCATCTAATAACCATATTAAAGGGTGTTCTAGGAGTCTCTCCTATTTCTTAAAAAAGTAATTACCAGCTACCAATGACTAATTCATATAAATTACATTAGTTTCAATCCGTATAATTAATCAACAAAAGTCATAATAATCAAACTTTATTTTATCACAATTCCACTAAAGCGTGTTGTGTAAATGATTTTAATCACTGCCAGCGTTAAGAATATATTAGTCCCCTTTATTCTGGGTTTCGATTGCACTGTTTTTTTTGAATCTTAAACAAATAAACTATCAGTTTTAATATTCTTATCAATTAATGTTAATCAACTAAAATAATGTCGAGATAAAGAATTATTACATTTTTATTTTTTATTTTAATATAAAACTGTCTGACTAGTCATCTAAATTTATTGATAGTAAACATTTTATATTTTCATTGGTATAGACAAAAGTATTATAATACACAAAATACAATAAGTTTAATAACAATTATTAAAAATGTAATTAAATAAAAACATTTTTATGTAATATTTTATTGAAACATAATTATGAAATAATTATTTATACAATATCCTAGGTTACATCTATTTTTTATACAGACACATAATTGATGGTTTTTATTATGATAAACAAATGAGTCAGAAAATAAACAAATAGTTCACTATATAAATCATAAATAGAAACAAGTATTTTTATTCAATTATTAATGACTATAATAAGATGTTATCAATGACACATATTTAAAATTATGAAATAAAAAGTAAATACGAGTTGTAGGTTTAATGTATCTTATAATGATAAAATTGCTCATGGATAATAGAAAAATTTTAACTTATTGGCTTAATACATTTTTTTGCGCAAAATATCCAACAATTTACAATAAGTACACAGGAAGAAGGTAGTTTAAAAATTATTATCTACGTTATATTCGGCAAAAAAATAGTACATATTCTAGAATAATATTAAATTTGGCGCCAAGCATTAAATAACTATTTTTAAATATAACCTCTTATTATTTTTAACAATTTTAATTAAATCGTCTAAAACTATTTGGTGGAAAAATTATTTACAACATAATTATTATACAATTTTAGCCATATTTTTTCAATTCATGCTTCCTAATTAACTAATGAAGAAAATAAATAAAATGCAAGTCTTAATACATATCATCTTTGATTAGAAAGTTTTATTTCTCTTCATGACAAGAATTCTTTTGATTAATTTTCCAAATGTTTTATAAGCTTTACTTAACTTTTAAACTAAAAAGCTTTGTTATAACTATGAATAAATTCTATACAAGGTAACTTTTTCTAATAATATTAGCTCACGAAAGTTGAATTTTAGGTGAAATAAATAATATAAAATATTTATGCAAATAATTTCATTATTCTTAGTTGTTATTATATAATTTAATTATATAATAGTTGTTATTTTCTTAAATTTGGCTTTTTTAAGGATTATTGTTTGTTTTTTTGTTGAGCTAATGTCATGTTTTATTAAAATACAATGGTAACAAGATAATAGATTTTATATAATATACTGTTAATGAAAAAAAAAACATAAAATCTATTTGGACACACGTCAAACATAACAGGTATCATTTTTAGTCAAAGACAAATAATTATAACCGTAGTAAAGTATTGTAATAGTCATCACATTATGCTTTCGCTGTTATATTATAAAAAATACATTGTTAAATGTTATAAATCATTGCAAATCATTAACCACCTTACGGTACATTAACATACTTAATATATATTTATAGTTATATTATTCGAACAAATCTTTAAATAAAAAACATTATATACATTAAACTTAAGTTTCATAAAATTATAACTATTTTATAATAAAAGTTATGATTATCAAATTGATATTTGAGCGACGAACGATGGAGAAATAAATTTAACTTCAATAGAGTGTATAAAGTTATAATACATATTAACAAACGTCAATTTATATCACTCTTGAATGTACTAATTATTTTTTGTGTAAAATTGATTACGTAGTTATAATTCTATTACAACTGACTATTGTGTTAATATGATACTTAAAGCTTTTGATAGAATAATAAACTAAACATTGACCTTACTTTTAAATGTGTTATCTTTAAAGTTCGACGCTAAAAAAATTTATACAGATAGTGACATTTTTATTTACATACTCAATTCATGAGAAATTTTCCTAACAATCATTTTAACTGATTAAAAAAATAACAACGTTCTTAATGATGTTTTCGTTAAAATTCAGTGATTTATATTAAATAAATAAAAGTGTTCTGTAAAATAAACCACATCAAATATCTTTAAATTATGCAAATAGACTTTTTTATTTCTTATAATTACTTAAGTCCGCCATAAGTACTTAAAATTCCCTAGTATACTATGGATAAAATTTTGATAGTAAAAAAGTTAAAGTAATCGTAAAGTAAATAATAATTCTTTTTAAGCCTGTTTATAGCATGACCAAATCATCTTCAGGGATTGATTCAAATTCTGACTGTCAGAATCGAGTGGCCGCAACTATTTGGGATGGAGGTACTGTTCTTCCAAAATTTTTCCCACTCACAATACTTCTCTGGTCCATCGCCGAATCAGTCTATAGAGTAAAATACAAATTTATTACATAAAAAGATTTGAGACGAATTTCATTTCAAAAATCATACATATTATTTTTAAAAATAAATAAATCAAATTCTTTTCTTTAATCGAAATGACTTATTAAGTTTTGTAATTTATTGTAAATAAGGAAATGTACTAAAAAATAATTTAAATATTAAGAAATAACACCTAAATTTAAAAAACAGTTTATTAAATAAAAAACGTATCAACTTAAGTTGATATTTAACTAAATATGAATAGTCTTTAATAAATTTTCTATATTAGAGGTATATTATTTTTTTCAAAAATTAAAGTAGGAAAATGTTGTTGTTATACAAACCATATTTTATATTATATGTTTTTAGTAAAATATTTCTTTAAATTTATCAAATTATTGACACTAAAAAAGTAGTTTACGCAGTTAATTACTCAAGAACTGATGTTAAATATGATAAAGATTTTTAATAAATAGTGTGATTTTACATTAGTCTATACATAGGAACCGTTAAAAATACAGTAAGATAAAATAAACATAAAAATGTTGTGATATTTTACATGCAGCAAAATTTAAGTACATAAAAGAAAAGATGTTGTTTAATCTATAGGTACAAAATAAATTTGTATTATCTTACAATATAACAAATAATAAAATAAAATAAAAAATATGGCTAAAATGTAACATAAAAATAGGACTAGAGTAATAATACTGTAAAAAGTAACACAACAGCCATGCATATTTTTCCATAGAGAAGTTGACGCTTTTTAACTGGCATTTAATACATAAATTTATCAAGTGTAAATAAATAAACATAAATTTTTACTGAAGATAATATTTGTTCTATGCGGGTTTATTGAACTCAGTAAGAAGAAAAGCGATAGTTATATCTAACGCTTAAGGATTTCAAGCAAATTAACTTTATTCTACTTAAAAAAAATCACGAATTTATAGAAATTCACAAAAAATTGTTGCTAAAATTCGTTTTAATTTTCAGGCTTACAATTATTCCTTATGGATGAATCTAAGAATGTTAATAGTTAAGGTTTTATATACGTTTATAAATTTTATAGTCACGTTATAGGGAATATTTACAGCAATATTATTGGTTTGCAATGATAATATTAACGCAATACGTCAACTTCTCCAAGTAAAAGAAACTCTTCCGTAGAATCGCAAATGATAGTCGTCGTAAACAAAACACAAAGCGCTTCATTAAGGTAGCGTTTAATCATCATGCACGTTCAATGGCTATACCGTGCTTTCCCGTTGCATGTGTTGCGCTGGCGGTGGTGTTAGTAACAATGGGATTTCCACGGAATGATCCTGGAACTGGTTGTGTCTACCAATGGTGCCTATGTTGTTCGACCCCGGGCCTCGCATCTGAGCAGTGTGATACGGATGCTGCTGTTGTTGGTAATGCTGGTGCAGCTGATGGTGGTTGAGCATTAACCGTGGTGGTTGTTCAATCGAAACGTATTGGACCAAGTTATGATGGTCACTGGAGTGCCGTAGTATAGAGACGGGCTGTTGCTGTGGTGGTACTGGACAAATAAGGTTCGGATAAACAGCACCTGAGATAGGCGTTTGGGAAAGTTGAGGTGAAAGCATAGCAGCACCGTTCACATCCGATCCATATTGGAATTGTTGTTGGGCCTGTTGCTGCGGTGGTTGTGGAGTTGTTGTTCCACATATCTTTAAGATGAAAAATATTAAAATTAATGATTTAGCAAAATTCTTCACTAATCAAATATTAGAAGATTTATTATAATATAATACCTGTTGTTCACATGGATCTTGATCAATAATTCGTGATGAATACAGTCTATTACTATTAAGTCTTTCAAATGCTTTTTCTTCTTCGTCTAAATACTCTACAAAAATTAATAAAATTCGGTCTATGAAAACAACTAAAATTGAAAGTAAAGTTTTTTAATCTAACAATAACTTAATGTGGTTATTATTCATCTGGTTGAAAAATGTATCAAATGATAAAATATTTGTAATTTTTTTTACCATTATCATGTGGTATAATGTCTGGGTTTTTATCTAAACCGTCGTCAGAGGTGTCTGATCGATGATCGCTTACGCTTCCAATTGCAGTTTTGGATTCATCAGTGGATCTTTCATGGTCTCGACGACGTCTTTGGCAACGTTTTCGTTGACAAGCTATTGCCATGCCAATTACACAAGCCAGTGCCAAAATGGACAATATTCCGCCAGCAATAATAATTCCTATTAAAGGAGTTATTCTGGCAGCAGGTGTCACAGCTAAAAAATATAACAACTAAGAACTTTAAACTTCAAATTTACTTTAATATATTTATTTGAAAACTATTTTGATTATTGGACTAATGAGTCAAATTTACATTCTGAATATATTTTTGATATTAACATACCAGTGCGTTTTTCAGCTGATTTCAATGTAAACGATTGCAGTTGAATGGGGTCAGACGATCCTCGGGCATTATATGCGTACAGGCTGACATCGAACCCTATTCCTGATTTGAGGCCACCTACGGTAAACACCGGAACATCAGAAGTGACATTTCCTGCTAAGGTCTGAGCATGTCGGTCGTATACTTCCATGACGAACCGTTGGGATAGACCACCATCAAAACCAGGTTGACATTGCACAGACAGAGTAGTAGCTGTCTGGTTCATTACTACACAATTTTCCACGCTATCCGGCCGACCTTTAAAATAATTTTATTTTTAAATATTTGATATATGATCCAGTAAAAAATAATAATAATTTTCATCGATAAATTTTAACTAATTTAAAGGAGAGATTTAAAGTATTTAGTGATTGAAATTGTGTATTTATGTAAATAATGTAAGTAAATTCAAAAAAACTCATCACAGTGGAGTTGTGGCACAGTTGGAACAAGTATAGATGATATCTGACAATGATTAACATCATAACCATAAAAAGCATAGATTTTAAAATTCAAAACGATTTTTTTGAAACTTTCATTTTTTACGATGTTGTAAATTTGTGACATTATTTTAAATTTATAAAATTGAAGAATTTTTTTTAATATTCGGCAATACTTGGTTCAACTAGATTAAAATAGATTTCTTTTGACGTAATGATCATTAAATAGGTCCAGTGAGAGCCAAAAAGTTTCATGGTCCGACATAAGTAAATAAATACATGCCAAAATAATCACATACCATCACGAAACCGATACTTTCTCAGCTTCGCACCAAAGCTAAAAAATAAAGCAGTAATTGTTCTTCTAACCACTACTATCATGGTAAAATTTATTTTACTGCAACTTCGGTGATAAAACACTTAAGTTATCGTGCATCAGTATTTTCTATGCATATACATCTTAAAGATATTGTATATAAATATTAGACTATTAGTTTTCAATCGCTAAAAACATTTCATATATAATACATAAATATTTATTTGGCTACTTTTTCTAAAACTTGACTAAAAGTTAAATGTGATGGTGACGAAATGTACGTTCCAAAATATAAACACCAAGTTTTTAGTTAGAATAAAAACCTTTTGTAGGTTTTAGTTTTGTTTGGCCGGATGTCAGATAACCGGAACACCGAATAATATAATAATACTATTATTATTTTGAAAACTTCTTAGCACTTGGCTGGTACTAAAAGGCGGGTCAGTGTACAAGTTGACGACTCCAGCGTTTCCGCTGCGGACAAACTAAAAAGTTTGTGAGCTGGTAAAAATGTACTACACAAGCAATCTCATCATAAAATTAAACATGTGTTTATTGTAGATGACATAATAGTTTATACGTTTTAATATCACCATTAAACTGGGAAATAATTCTTATCACTTAAAATGCATTTTACAAATCTGTTACAAAAATAAAAAATATTTTTCCATATCTAGCCCAATTTTTTGATTGGAGAACATCGAACCTTAAAAATGAAAAATTACTGTTTATCTTTTATTTAGCATAAAATTAAATGTTTTTTTTTTAAATAATTTACTTCGACTAAAAAATCAAATTTTAAATTTATTTTAGTTCAATTCATATTTATTTAACACTAACCATTCGATTTCTTTTAAAATAACAATTTTTTTATTTTGTTAGTAACATAATATATAACTTATATGATACATATTATTTTTCTTAATTTATTTAAAAACAAATACTTTTTAGGTTCATCCCTCATATTTTATAGGCGTGTACACTTGGTCTTTTTAAATGTCAATATGTATTAAACTAATTAACTGGTCTATTAAATATTTCAGATCAATACTTAGAAAATTATTAGCATTTTAAAATAATCACTGGATGTCAAGTGTAGTAGATGTTGCTATTTTAATCATTAATCATTACTCTGTCACAGTTTTTCGCCTAAGTATAGAATATTTTCCTAAGCACTGGTCAAAAGTTGTTATCGATATGACATTTTCTTGATAGATTCTACTATTTTATAAGCTAGTTTAATGTATATTTATGTTGCCATTAAAAAAAAAATTAATTGACATCTTTATAAAATATATGGGATGAACCAGATATACAAAAATAGAAATATATGGCATAAAAATTTACATCTAATGTATTCCTTCCAAAAAAATTATCTTGATTTTTCAAAAAGTTAGAGTAGCGTAAAATGAAATTTAAAGTATTTAATTCATTATTTTCACAAAAATATTACATAATTTTCGACTACACCAAACTATTTACACCAAGTTAAAAAAGTCTACTTTTACTAAAAACATTGATTTTTTGAATCCCCGTTTATGTCATTAACAAAGTCGGATATAAAAAAAATGTGACATGAAAAAAATTAAGTCAAAAATTTTAAAATTTAAAGATTTCAAAAACGTTATGTTTTGGGAAAACTTTCCTATATATGAAAAATTAGGAAAATATTTTCAATTTTGAAGGGTACTATCTTAATTTAGATAAGTTTTGATAACTTTTGACGTATTATTGAATAATATCGGCTTTGTAAGGATTGAGTATATATAGTAATGGATACAAAAAAATACGTAGTAAAATTAATACCTTCTCAGATTTATATCGTAGTTAAAATTAAAATTAATTTTTTCTTCCACAAATCTCATAATTGCATTTTTTAAAACTTATTGTATTAATCACCAAAATGACTAGGGAAGCTTGAGAGAACTAATATACAGATATATTAGTTCTAACATATACGTTATTTTAATTTTCATTCTTCTCATAGTATGATAGAAATAGTAAAATATTTTTAAGTAATTAATTTGGTAAAATTTTCCTTATATATGCACTTTAACAGTGTGTATAAACAATAATTACAATGAGCCTCTATCTCTAACTGAAAATTTCATTTAGACAAATTGTCTGATATGTCCAGGAGATATACAACTCATCAACACGTGTAATTGCGATTGTTTTTTTTCATAATTAGTTCGGATAATATCCTACGAGAATAACAGTTATATATAATAGGCTAATGATTTACGATTACTACGTGTTTCATAATTTAAATAGTTTATCCAAAGTTACACAATTTTCTTATTAAATTCGTTTGTGTTATAAGTCAATTGATCCTAAGATTTTGTGACACGAAGAAATTTAAACAAGATTATTTACTATTTATTACGGTATACAATTTCAAGTACAAAATTATTTATATTAATATTAAGGTACATATAAATTTTATATATTTTGATGACATAAAGTTCTTCAAAACGGGTTATGTTTTCTTTTAACATGTCTTTAAGAACACTATTTGTTTTCATTCTTAACGAATGTACATTACTACACTTTATTATAGTGTACTCAGCTGCCGTTTCTTTTTTCAATTTATATCTTAGCTATTACTTCAATTGAAATTTATCACACTGATATTAATCTACAATAAATTACGCTTAAACTCAACAGTGCAAGTACGTATTTGCCAGCTATATGTATTAAAAAATGTATATACAAACCTTTAATCGACGTTCGACATAATAAAATACGTAAACATAGTTCACAGTTACCTGCTAGCGTTAATTAATTGGTTTTTAAATTAGTACTGCACTATTAGCTTTTGTGTTAAGTACATCTTTTCATAAATACATTTAGATATGATTCAAACGGCGATTTGTTTTTTTATTTAGGTTTCATTATGTTTTTAAAATGTTTCATAATTATGGATTTCAAATAATAGGATCTACTAATGCTAATTAATTCTTCAAGATTCGGTATTTTTGTAATTAATTATATAATTATGAATACTTTGTCAAAAAAAAAAAAAAGAATTCTACAATACAAAATGTGAGTATTTAAGATTTTCAACTTTGATTATCTCGGGCTGAGTAATTATTTTATTTATTAAATAAAACATAAAATCATTTTTGGATTTGATATAATAATATTGTAGTCTTAAAGGTATTCGGAAAACTATTTTACCCGAGTACGTTGATTAGTTAATTTACTATCAACGTAAATAGCCATTCATTAAGATATGTGTTATTTAAGGTAAGTATGTCATGCTTACCAGCTGCAATGACTTGGTAAACACAAGGAGTAACTTGTTTGCCGTACTCGTTACTGGCCCAGCACATCAAAGTTCCGTAATCGAGGGGCGTTTGTGGAGTATACGCTGCTGTGCTGCGAGGCCCATCCTCAGTGTACCGATCTCGTGCTAGTCGAACAGTCTCTCTCGAATTGTTAAATCGCCATGTATATTGTACGTGATCTGAAGGATTGGCTTCGACTTCACAAACTACTTTAGCAGCTTCTCGTCTGCCTACTCCTTGAACGGTCTCTTGTCCAGGTCGACAAACTGGAGCAACTACAAACAAACATACATATATGATACATGTTTATTTTTTTTTATAATCATCATAACTGTAATAAAATCATGTCTTCATTATTTTTATTTCAGTTACGAATAAAATTGCTCACTAAACCATTACATTTAGTTTCAAAACGTACTTTTATTCTCAAAAATATTATTCTGAGCTATAAACTTCTGAAATGAAATATCAAAAGATCTATAGAAAGTATGACTAAGAAGTAATTGAATGGAAGAAAGAGTTAGAACGAAAAAGATAATAGCAATATTATTGTTGCCTACATTTTGGTCGTAAGATGATGGATGCTTCAGAAAACTCTTTGAAAGTTACTGTTGCAAGACATTTTAATCGAGTAAACTTTATACATTTTTTCCATTAAAAATCGACAAAGCAAAATGTTGAGTATGCGGCAAGACATTTACGTTGTTTTTTTAGTTTTCTATAACTTGAACTTCTCGGGAAAATTTCAATATGCGTTTCAAATAATTGTTGGGATAAGCATCATCTCTGAAAGAATCATAAGTCTCTAGGTCGCAAGTTGTTTAATGAAGAGTATTTATGTTAGCATTTCACTTTTATTGAACAAATTTACTCGGAATAAAATTTAAATAGAAAAATATTTAATGCAAAAACGCTATGGAATTAAAATTTAGTATCAATTATGGGATAGAATATTGTACTCAAAGAAAAGTTTGTTTAAAGGATATGGTATGAAGTTATATTATCATACGTTACCTTTTCGGTGTTATGTGTTTTGAGTCATTAACTTCGTTTTAAGGGATACATAATGAACGCGTGAGAGTCTAATGAAACTTTATTAGCTAAATAACTACTACTCAATGGTGTACATCATGTGAGTAACCACTTTTAGGAACGCTAGTAGCCCGTGAGGGGCTAAAATTATTTCATACACGAAACGTTTGATGTATTAAACATCAATGTACCATAGCAATTTATAATTTTTATGTTATTCATAATGACGTAAAATGAAACTCACAATAAAACATTTTGGGTAGCCCTTTTTTATTTTTTACAACTATGTTTCACGTATGGAATGTGTTTCATAAAATTTAAAATTAATTTCTACAATGCCTATAAAAGAATTTATTGATTTGATGATTTTATTTCAAGTATAAAAAATTTAATAATAAATAAAGAAATAAATTTTATATAAATATATCTAATATAATTTCATATTGTATGTGATACATAAACAAGTCATTTTTCATCGCCAGATCATACAGCTTTGGCAAAAATAACCATATGAGTGACTAGAGTTTAGTTTTTGAAAGTGGTACTTAGTTTAAATTTTAGTAAACATTTTTCAGGATTGTAAATAACAAAGAAGGTATCAATAAGATTCTGTCATAAATTAAAATACAGACAAAATCGTTAACAATCATAAATGTCATAGGACAGTCAATAAATATATATATATTATTTATTAGTGATAGTGGTGTGTTAATAATTTCAAAATAAACTATAATTATTGTAGTTCCAGAGTGTGCAATTACTTAAAACAAAATAAATAACATAAATGTAGTAGATCAAAAATTATTATACCATTCGTGAGAAAATACTGTTTCTGCATGTTTGGTTTTTTTCATCTTATCTACTACACAAAAAGTATTAATTAGAGTGATCGAGGAATGTAGTTTTAGAAATAAAATTCTTGTTGTTGATATCATATTTTATTTAACACATAATGTATTTAAGAATAACATAGGAATTACGTATTTTTTTTATATTTGTAGGTATTTAAAATCACCTTTCGGCAAAACAAAACTAATTATTGGTGTATTGATTATTTTTTTTAGTTAAAATCTGCTTATGCAAATTTTATTAATAACACCTATTATATGATAATATATATGAAGTGCAATATTTTTAAAATGTTTGCTATAAGATTTATTAAGTGTCCTAATAGAGTGCAAAATCTGCTACTGATAATAACTTCAAGTGATAAATTAGGTATTTGACTATTAGAGTAATTCACGATGTTTTGACAAATTTATTAACTTATATAAATAATCCGGTCAGTTTTCGTTTCTTATTCTTTTAATAATAATTATCCGTCAGTACTATAAAAATTTTATAATAAATAATAGTGTTTTTATTTATTAAAAAAAAAACTTTTTTTAATATAGTTTTAGTGTAGATTTTAAGGAAGAATTTAATAAATATATACACTTTTAAATGTTAAATTATCTGTAGCATTTAAAATTTTAATGAAAATTTGACCTTTAATATGTTTTTTTATGATATTAAACATTGAAATATGTTTTGAGAAAAAAACGAAATTGTTTTATGCTTAATATTAGTTATAGATGTATAAGTTTTTCTATGAAAATTATCTGCACTTGACTGAGCGCCTGTAATTGACCTTAAAAATTGGAGTAATAATATTATCTATATTTGATATGGTCAAACATAATTTAATAATTGTAAAAACTAAATATGTTTGTTATTTTAATAATCGCCGTAAATTTTTATAAATAAAAAATATTAATTTAATTATGTATACTACTTTGTATTTACAGAGTGGTCCATGATGTTATTTGAAATATATTAAAAAAAAAAAAAGATATATTGAATCCCTTTTGTTCGACTAAAATTTATTTTTACTATTATTTTTTGTGATTCAAAAAATGTCTGAAAACTGGCATTAAATTCAAAACAATTTTCTTTCATGAATAATGATTTAACTTTAGTTTCACTTCATCGCAAATTGTTTTACTCACATTTTACATCCAAATTAACCGGGTTGCTAACACCATCCCCTTCCTGATTACTTCCAACACAAGTATAAATACCAGCTCGATCCCGAGTAACTCCTTGCAATACCAAACTTTGATTGCTTACAAATGTGTCTACGCTTGGATTGTTGTTCAAAGGCTTACCCTAAAACAAAATTATTTTGAAATCAATTGCAAAAGCTATTGAAATTATATATCTTTAACAATCATTATTTGGGAAAGTTTGTAATTTTAACTAATTAAACTATTGTTTTGTTACAATGGCACTTAATAATATTCAAGTATTAAAATGTATTGAAACACTTTTTAACTTTTTCTTTAAGTCTTATTTTAAGTGATACCAAATTACACAATGTCACAATGACACCTAATATATCATTTTTAATTTATACTAAATTATTTTCTATGAATTCAAGTTCCTTTAAATATTTTAGTAATAAATCATTAAGACATAACTGCGTTTGATTATTATGTTAAATAAATCTAATTTAAAAATAAAAATTTATTTGACAAAAATTAATGTTGCGTAAATTAAAAAAATTATTTATCTTATAGTAAAATGTAAAAAAAATATATTAAAATTTAACTTACATTGTGTCTCCAAGTCACTCTATACACCCATGGATTAGCTTTAATGTTACATTCAAAATAGACGTCCATACCTTCTTTTATTGCACTACCATTGATATTTTTACCTAATTCCAAGGTGACAACAGGAACATCTGTAAAAAGTAATATAAATATATTAAGAAACGGCGTGCTGTGTAGGCAAAACTAATAGCATTTAAGAGAAATTAATTTTTACAAAATTATTATCGATGTATACAACTTTTAATTGTTTGACACATATCAATGTATTATAACTTAAGATTGGGATTTTTATGGTATACGTGTATTTAGTATTTATAATTCATTTTTTGATAGTTAGAAAAATTGGTTTAATAATATTCTTATAAGATTTATTTCTAATCAATTTTATAAAAATGTATATTTCAATAAGTTATAATTTAAGAAAAAATAATAAGACAATTACTATTTTTGAATGAAGTATTAATTACTTAAAAGATAATTTTAATGAAACTAAAGTTTAAAATTAAAGTCTTTGACATTTCACCTAACTTCTGACTTAATAATATTAAAATACTCATTAAATCTATTTTGTAGCGTATGTTTTAATATTTCAAAGTGCATAACATGGAAATATTATTTATGAGTTTTTTATAAAGAATAATGTATAAAGTCATCATTGAAGAAATGGAAAAATTATATTATCTCGATAAAAATAATAACAATATTGGTATTATTAAAGAATGATTAAAGTAATATATTTTATCAGAAGTAATGTAATATAATTTTCATTAAAATTTTAAAGTTACTCTTAAATAAGTTTTTTAATTACTAAAGTTTCTGAGTAACTTATTTATTATATCTCGGCTTAAAATTTTAATATACACTAAGAAGTATAACTCTTATATAGAATAATGATGGATTTATTATTAATTTTATGCTAATTTTAAGCTATTTCTTGTGAAAAAAAAGAGTATATCAAAATGCAACATTAAATTTTTAGTTTTCATACAGATTATTTGTGGGCAAATATACTATTTACGGATATATGCCTTAATAATACAAAAAAGTACTGTTTGTTTTCATGAAAATTGATAGAAAAAATAAATATATAATACAGTGGTCTGATCCGGTACAAAGTCAATTGCATATATTATTAGGTGCGCACTTTCTTAAGAAAGTTTCTGCAGTGTGTACGTGAGATTTTTAAAGTATTCTTATTTCAAAAGCCAACGGGCAAAACTTATCAGATAGTCAATAGAACACCACATGTTTGTTTCACTTTTCAGAGACCAATGCTACAAGGCCAGTATGTGTGTATGCGTAGTTGGCTGAGTGGAGGTGTACGTGACCACATTCACAAACGGTTGGAGATAAATATTTAAGTCGTGGAATGCGAAGAAATATGATCAGGATTTATTATATGTCATAGTCATATGTATGCGATCTCACAAACTTCTGGTCAGCCTCAACAACTTCGTTTTAAAACAAGAGTTTTTTTTTTACATTAAGTTACTGCATATTTAAAAGTTAGTATGTATTCTCGAATGTATTTTATGAGAATTTATGTATTTTTCTTTCTTATATTTAGTATCAGTTGATATGTCTGAATAATTATTGCAAATAAAATAAAAGCTACTAAATGAGGTAAGACATAAAACAATTTTGTTAATAATTTTATCATAAATATTTTTCAGTTGCGTCATAAATTATTCAATACATGCTTATTATAAAGGAAGAGTTATATAGTCAACAATTTTATTCAATTTATCATCGTCATTTGAATAGTGGGGAAAAAAAGTATGCCTAAAACAATTTTATCAAAATAAATTAGGTTATAAAAAAATGAACTGGACGTCTCATTTATTAGTATTGAAATATAAGATTATTTTTTATAAGAGATAAATAAAAATGTCCCTATTTCTCAATTTTATGTACAATTTTCAGATTATCAAAATTAATTCAAAAACTCATACTTAACAAGATAGTTATTTTACTGTTGAGACTGTTATCTTAACGAAAGTACAGGATCTAGTTTGATATCGAACATTTTTAATATAGTAGAATACAGCTTATAAGGAATAGTATACACATTAAATCATTAAAGTAGGTATAAAGAATAATAATTTACATAACTCATATCTATTTGTAAATTTAATATCTATATGCATACTGTCATCGTTAAACTATAGTGATTTATTTCATTTATGTGTTCGCTATTCAATAGAAACAAAATATTATGATATATTAGTCGAATTGCAAACATATCCGATTATATTTACATATATTTATTTATTGTTGACTAACATAGAAATTTTGTCTACAGCAGTTTATGTATAAACGACCGTTTATAGATTTGAAAAACGATGTGGTCGCGACTAGAGAATGTCAAACTGTAGACATATCAGATAAACGTTTGGTATTTTTTTTTCTATCCTAAAATAAATTTCGCAGACGTTGACAAGATAAGGATAATATTCGATTTGAGGGCAACGGTAGGCGAAAAGCAATAACAAAACACGCCATCATCAGTGGAAACCCCTTTACCAGTATCCCAAAGAATGCTTTTATTGGGAACGTGACGATTATTGCCCAACAGTTTTTTTTTTGACAAGTCGCTGAAATGTTGGCTGGTTAATTTGAATGCTTGGAATTCTGAAGGAGAGACAGGTTTTTCGAGTCAACGGAAACGTATTTCTTTAAATGAAAAATTCGCTTTAAAAAGTTTTAAACTAATACTACTGTATAGAAATAGTTGCATACCTACAGCTTTTATCTACACATAAATATAAATGAAATATCTACTTCATAAAATGGAATAATTAAAATAAGAAACAAAATTTCTTAAAAAATTATAGAAGTTAGCAAAATAGAGATAAAAAACATTATTAAACTATCGGTGAATTACTTAAAAATTAGTTTTAAAATTATGAATATGAATTAAATATTGTGTGTTTTTAAAAAGGACTCTTTTTGCCAAAAAATTTGTTTTGTTAGTAAAAGGACAAAACTAAAAATAATTTGGTTTTGCTTGATTAAAGTTTTTTTATGCATAGTTCTTAAATGAAAAGTCACTTAAAAAATAAAATAAACACAGTAGAATCGTGACATAGTCGGGACAAGTATAGATAATATCTGACAAAAGACTAATCAGATTTTATAAAAAAGTATGCAAAATGAAAGAGGTATGTATAAACTATTTATAAAAAAAATGTATTGATCCATACATTTTCAAAAAGTTATAGCAATATAAAGTTAAAAATGGAAAATATAAATTTTCAACATAAAAGAGCATGCTTTTAACTATGGGGGCCATTTGCACATAGAAAAGTCGTCAGGACAATTTTATTTTAACTATAACACATTAAATCTTCTTCTTCTTCCTTATCTTAATCCCAACTACTTGGGGTCGGCCACCTTTATCCTAAACTTCCACTTGACACGATCTCCCACATCATCAGCTGTTCTCATATGGCATTCAATAGCATCCCTCCATCTCTTTTTTTGTCTTTCTCTGCCTCTACTTCTTTCAACATTCATTTCTATAACTATTCTTACAGCTTCGGATTCTTCTCTCCTCACAACATAACTAAGTCTATTTTCTTTCATCTTATTCACGATTGACGCTACACCTATACTCCCTCTTATATGCTCGTTCCTTATTCTATCTTATCTAGTTACTCCACTTATCTATCTAAGCATTGTCATCTCTGCTACACTGATTTTCTGCAATACTTTCTTATCAACCATCCAACACTCTGTACCATACATCATAGTTGGCCTCTCTACAGTCTAGTAGAATTTACCTTTCAGCCTCATTGGAATTATTTTATCGCATAAGACGCCAGACGCTTCTCTCCACTTCAACCACCCGCACTTAATTCTGTGTCTTACATCTTCGTCAATACCACCACTCGTTTGCACAACTGACTTTAAATACTTAAAACTCTCCACCTCTCCAATCACGTCCACGCATATTGTCACTGACCTCCTCATTTCACCTATTATAACACATTAAATAAACTTTAATTTAATATATTAAAATAAATAAACTCATCATGGTAAAATTAATACGTTTTCAGCTTTGCATAGAAGCTAGCATAAATAATTGCATTGACCTATACATTTTTCAAAAGTTAAAAATATAAAATCAACAGACGAAGTAGACGGATGTTAATTATAAATTACAAGTAATTTCTGTTCTATATATTTATAATATTTGTGATTTTGATGCCACGAAGAATGATTGGTTTTCATGTATGACAAGTAATTCATGAAAAATAGCGTCTATTTTGACTATTTTGACTTAAATTGGTTTGCATTTAATGTTCAGTGCTGGAATATTTTTTTAATATCAAAGGTGATATTTTAAATATTATTTAAAAAAATTATTTATTCTAAAAGAAAAAAATAGAATATGTACAAGAAATTTATGATATGGAAGATAAGTAACCAATTATACTCTATCGTGTAAATGAAGAAATAAACTGAATTATCTTTGATTAGATTTTTTCAATTTTTAAGGCAATGTATAACTAAATACCATTTGTGATCTTTTAGCATATCTTTTAAAAAGAAATCGATTCAGTGAGGATGAGAAAAAGTTGGGACAGACACAAAAAAACAATAAACATATTATATTAAAACTAATGCCATCTAAGCTTTACATCAAAGCTAAATTAGATATTTATATTTTCTATCTGTAATGTGGCTATATCAAGTAAGTAGTTTGTACAGGTAAAATTATTTTATTTTAAGGAATTAAGTTAAAAAAAACATAGAAATTATAGGATATTTACATAAAATTTTGAAAGTTCTAATTCAAATTATTCTATATAATATTATATAATATTATAATTAAATAAAAGTTTTTGAGAGATTACACCTAAGGTATTTATTCTTCAGTATAAAAATTGAAAAGCTAAGTTACAGTCATTTTTCACAATTAGTAATAAATTCCTAAAAGTCTACGTCAAAGTTTTAAGTAACTTTCCAGTTAAAATGATTTTTAAAAAACCAAAGTTTTTTTAGCTCTAAAATCTGACAAATGATTTAAACAAAATAATTACTGAGTAGTTTTTTACAAAACAGATAAATATTAATTTATTATAAAAATTGTTGTGACACATTAACAGAAATTTACTAGTAATTTCGATAATTAGGAATTGATGCGAAGGAGAAGTCACATATAAATATCAGATAAATACGACGTTTACTCAGAAATGTCCACTCAATTAAAATAAATTTTAACAGAATTATGATTGTTTAATTTTGCTTGGCTTTTTCACATTCATATATATAAACTGGGTGTTATAAAATGTTGTGCTCCGTCAAGTTTTTCATTATTTTTTATCAAAATAGTAAGACTTCAATTGTCGTTCTTAAAATAAAAAAATATAATTCGTAAATAATTTTTGCCAACAATTATTAGTAAAGGTATTAGCATTAAACGAAGAATGATCTTGTAATCGTTTTTAGTTTAATCAACATTTTCAATGTGGGTGAACCCTATGTATAAATAAAGTTTGGTTTAATTTAAAATTTTTATTAATATTAATGTATTTAGGGATAATCGATCATTATTAAGAGTATAAGTATTTTTTTTTAATGATCCTAACCTCCAGCAAGACATATATTTTCTTTTATATTTCTGAAATTAGGATTTCTATTTTGGATGACAATTTTGTACTTGAAATACTTATAATTACTTTATAAATTAGATTATTCTATATCTAGAAGTAAATAAAATAATTGCATTCTATTATTTTAATAATTAAAATACTTCTTTTTAATATTTAGTTAGTTATTTTCTATACATTTTTTTATATAATTGAAATCAAGAATTAAATGGCTGCATTGAAGATAATAGAATTAGCTAAACAAGGAAATGGTCCTTAACAAACATTACACGTTGATTATTATAATTGTTTTCCAATAGACAAAATAATAGTCAACCAATACAGGTTTGACATTAGGGGAGCAATTAGTATTTAAACTGAGTGAACAGTACAATAGAAAATTATTTATAGGATTGTATGTACATTGAATATTTTACATTTATCATAAACGATAATCGTATAATATTTTTCATTAATTTTTATCACAATGAATATAAAATGAGTTTGAAAGTTAATAAGCTAAGCCAAAGCAATGCTATTATTTGTAATTGAATGAGAAATAATTTGGAAACTCAGGCAATAGTTACGGACAAATAAGGGTTGATGTGGACAAAATAGCTTGATCATAACGTCTAGAATTAGCATAAAGTTCTGGGGAGCCTATTTTTCCTCATACTTATAGATATTTAGGCATTCATAATTTGCGTTAGAATAGATTTGTCAAGAACTCTTAGTTAAGTTAACAAATATGATTATTGAGATTGTTTTCATAAAATATAATCCACTAAAATTTCATTCAATAAACGTTTTCTTGATCTAAAAATAATCAAATAACCGTTTGAGCTATCTATATTTTAACTATTTTGTGCTATTTAATTTAAATCCCTAGATTTAAAAATATAAAATATGAAAAAAGTATTTAAACCTATAACCATTTTGATTGGGTTATAATTTTTTTTTTTTGTTTGTCGCAGATATGAATTGTCTCTATGTAATATTTGATCTATCAATAGTCTATTTTTCAAGTTATTATGATCATCAAATCGCATACTCTGCAAAATACTCAAGTTGTACTTGAACACTTCGAGTACACGCACATATCTCTCACTCTCTCTCTATATATATATATCAAATAGTGTGTATATAAATTTATTCGCCCGTATTGCGTTAGTTATGGAAATTAACCGACACCTTATCTTGTCTCGCCTTTACCAAGTAAAAATAGCTTATGAATATATAGCCATCATAAAGTTGTTTTGCTTATATTGTATAATAGAAGGAGTAATACTTTTGTTTTTCATATATTCTCAAATGGTTAATATCTCTCAAAATGCGCATTTTTATTTAAATTTGCATAACAAGAGAGTAATTTTACCCTATGGTTTAAAGATAATTAACTTTTAACTAATAATATATACATGACACTATGTTTTATTTTAATTATGATAAATCTTAACATACTATACATCCATAAAAAATGCAAGGTTGTTCAAAAAAAAATTATTTAAGGCAATTTTCACATAATAAAAGAGTAAAAAGTTTTAACTTAAACTACCTTTTAATTGTTGGAAGAAATATTATGGAAAAATAGCATAGATTTTTTTTTTTTTTTTGATATAAAGAAAATATAATAAATCTTTTAACATAAGGTTTAAAGAAAAATTACCTTACTTAACCGTAGAAGAATTTTTTGTTTGATTCTACAGGTGGTATTTAAGAATATGTACCTACAAGTTGCTTATATTTTCCTTGAAATATAAGCTGTATAGGAATGATGTTGTTAAAAATTCAACTGTCTTCAATTTATATCTTTAAATACATTTATGGGCTTACAAAATGTTCAAGTTAAATATAACACAAGTATCATGTCAGTCTACCAGATTACTATAAAGAAATAAAATCACTAGCATGTTAAATGTTGCATTGTCACCAATTGAATAATTATAGTTAATGCATTTTCAGTACTATGCAATAATTTTGTCATTGATATGTTACAATGCAATGAAATAATACTTATACTGGTCTTGCTATTAATTTTACCAACCGTAAATTTAAATTGTCCCAAACAATAATTGAATTATTAACATTTTGAAATTAAAGGCAAATGTAATTTGATTTATTCGTACAATTCCGTAGATAGAGATAGACTAGAATGAAGCTTGAAAAGCATTTATACTCTCTTAAATCACATCACCCTAATTAGTCCCTTTTGCTATTTGTGGCGAACACATTGAAAGGAAGTTTGGTGGGTAAATTGATTCCAGTATAACTAAATGTAACTATTTGTCTTAAAATCCATTCTTTAAGTATTTAAATCCTAAATTCCAAAATCACGATACTAAATTCTATCGGAGTAAGATGATTTCTACACAATTAAAGTTTATTGAATTTATATACAAGTAAATTTTGAGATAAATTTCTGTTTGTCTTACGAAAAATGCTAAGTTTCCACTCATTTGATGAAACCACATTTGCTGATGATATCTGATGATTTTGATCAGTCTTGATGTGCTTGTTTGTATTTGTATCAGGTACTGTATTTTCAGCTCGACAACTTAACAACTTATCAGAATCTTGAATTTTCGGTGTAAACGTCAATACACTAGTTGTCACATTACCATCCGGACTTGTCTACAAAGAAAACAAAACAATAAATACGGTAAAAAAAGGAACATTATTTCTTAGAAAAATTAATGTTATTTTAAGTCATTCACCTAACGCACATACATATATAATAAGACATAAAATAATTTTTTCTAACTTATTGAATGTTATCGCTTATCACTGTAGTTATAATCGTGGGGTGATAGATACATTTCGCAGTCAAACTAGTGGTTTCTTTTTTATGTACTGTAGTAACAAATATATTTGTGTTGTACACGTTTACGGCTGATAGTATTATTTTTACTATAAAAACGGCTCGGTTATCTTCTATGAAGACCTTTTATCGCTTCACGATTTTTGTCAATAAAACTGTATTATATTTCTTCGTATCTCATAAAGTTACACGATTTTTATCATTTTAAAATATTATTATTATTTATCATTTTATTATGCATAGTATGTTATAAGGGTATAATTTTTATCATAAAATCAAAACCCACAAACTTTATTAACAGATCCAGTGAAAAACATATCCTAAACAAGATATCTTGTTAAGCATATCTATTATTTGTTATTACTTAATGTGTATTTTTATTATTTTTTAGACCAAAAATTCTAGAATTAAGGAAATATAAAAATGGGGGAGTTTCAGACTTTACTATGAATACTATAAAAATAATTATAAAAGTTATTAAGTAATTTGTTTAATAATATTTTTAACATAATGTATTTTATCAACATTACAATACAAAAATTAAGTGTGGAAAATTCATTCTATCTTTATAAATATATGGCCTAAACTAGATAAAAATATTTTAAATAAAATGTTTAATCTTAATTCAACTACATTTTGATGAATATAAATGATAAAAGTTGATAATTCTAATTTTTTAAATGTTATACAACTATTTTAAGTTTTAATAAGATGCGTATTTATTATTTGCACATAATTGGTGATTTTAGTATATTTGTAATAAAGTAATCACAAAAAAAATTAAAATATTGGGGAATTTGACAAGATTCCATGAATTATACATTGAAAAAAAAACATAAAACTTGTTAAATGTATTTAGTTTGATTTGGATAACATATTTTTTAATTGACAAAGATTAACTGTAATTTAGAGGGAAGGTTAAATTTTAGGTTGAACCAATTTTATCAAAAGAACTATGCTTTATTTTAGTTTTTGGCCACCATTATTTAAAGATTTTAGTTTCCCACAACATTGAAAACTATAAATCTATTGCAGAATTGGATTAGAGTTTTTAGTTTCCTTAGACTATGTCGAAGAAAATTGAGGAAGTAATGTTATGTATGCGGTAGGGTGTTGTTAGAGCTACACTTTTTCTTTTGGTATTTATTAGCTTCGAAAACCTTTCTTTTGTATAGCACTCAGCTCTATCAATTTAAAGATTTTATTAATAGCCTTTACCAGATGTCTTGTAGAAATTAATGACATAGTGGTCTTTGTATTCTTCTTCTAGAGTTTACATTTTTTTGCACGCTAAGAATCAATTATTAACTAAAAATAAAAACTTAACCAGGAGTTTATTCATTAAAAAATTATTAAAATAAAAAATTATGAATTTTTTGAGAGATAATTTTTTAACTTAAAATTATATCAAGTTATGGGTTAATCTAATTATTGGATGGATAATAGTTAGCAAGCTTTAAAGTATTATTAATAGTGATGTAAAATTACCGTAATAATCTTTGCCTAGAATATTCTCAAAGCTAAATATTAGACTAGAATATTCATTTAAACTTATTTTTATTATATTTTAAATTATTGTAAATAATAGTCCTGAGTTGGCCAACAAGTAAACAATTTTTTTCACTTCCAAATTTATCCTTTTAGCTTTAGACAATAATTTCAGACGAAGTTAGAGTGTACTTAGAATAAAAATAAACTAAATATGCATTTTTATCGTCAAAAACGTTTTAAAGTTCTATTTAGAATGAAACAAATTTATAATTGGTAGTAACATATCTTATATTTCTTACCTTCTATTGTTTATAATAGGAAAGATACTATTGTCATAATTCAATTACTAAATTACATTTTTTACCTTTAAAACTAAAACCATTCGCTTATAAAATATTTAAAATTGGCTACGTTAAAGTGACTTTGTTAACATTAATTAATATAAAATGATATCAAACATGCAGGATGATACTTTTAACATCGGGCACTCAATTTTTTCTAAAATAATTATACCATTAAAAATATTTTTGGTGTTTTTTAATTTTATTTATTCTTAAAATGATTAACTATTAGGTTTTTTTAACTTCATCTGTTATGCAATATAAGAGTATTAAATTTGATTTAGAAAACTCTCAACTGTCACTGGACAAATTTTAATGATTAATGCGTCTAAAAGACCCAATTTAAATTTATTTGAAGATATCGTTATGGAAATTTAAAAAATTTAGAAAAATTATTTGAAATAACAATACCGTCAAAAATTAGCATTTTCTAAAATTCATTTTCTCAATAACTTTTCATTTAAATTTTTATTCTAATGAAATTTTAATGCAATATAAAAGAGACAATGAGTTTTTTTTTGTGTGTTTTTTGTAAATATCCAATGAAAAACCAATCTAAAGGAAAGAGATCTCTCACGCATGTAAAAATGTTTTTTCAACTTAATTTTTGAAAATTCTTCAAAACGATAATTCTAACCTATGTCAAATTAAAATTTTAAGTATATAAAAATATTGAAAACAAATTCCTCTTAATAGTTCTATTATGTAAAATCGGCCGCCATTGTAAATGAATTCACAATTAAAAAAAAAAAAAAACATTATTTTTAACAAATATAAATAATATAACAAGCATTTCATATTTGAGTAAGATATTAAAACATAGAAATTGTGGAAAATATATAAATTATTGTGAAATTATATTAGCATCAAATTGTTTTTTGGATAGGATAGAATCACTGTTAGATATTATATATACTAGTCACAGCAATGCCGCGACCACGCTATGATGGGTTTTTTTAATCAGGTTTTTTCTTTTGCTCTTTAAATTGTTTAATACATAATTAATTAGCTCATAAAAAAATTATGATTTAATCGAGATAATGACGGGTCGATAACAACTTTTTAAATATTATTTCGTAAGTTATTAATATATTTTAATTCAAAGAAAAGAAAAGCGTGACAAAGTAATGCGTAATGAAAATAACATAACCGGCACCTCACATTCACACTATACTTTTAAATAGTTATAACTTGCAAAATAAATTACTTAATACGATTATTATTTTAAGAAAAATGTATTTTTCAATATTAAAACAATCTCCCTGTATAAAGTTTTTACAAAACTAAAAACATTTAAATTTTTTATTTCACAGTTGGAAAACTTCCTTAGAACATTCTGTATAAATATATGTATGACTGACACTTTTGAATCTTTACGGATTCGTATGAAAAAAACAGCTCATCGTTCTAAATAGTCTATTCAAAAGTTATGAATAAGTCAAACGGGATGGGTGTGGAAATACAACAGTGAGGTGTCGTCGTCGTGTTTATCCGAGTGAAAAATAATCTTCGCGTCTCAGTTTTTATCCGGTCAGGGAATTCTGCACGGCTGTATTAATATAATAATATTATTATGTACTGACCGCACAACCGTTACGTCTTCTCATTTCCGATTCTCTCACGCTCAGCCAGTTTCGAATTCATTCGGTTAATCACCGCGGTCGAAATTGGTGACGGCCGCGGGGAAAATCTAATAACAGATGAAATGAGGAAAAGGATGAGAAAAGGGAATTGCTCGTTGTTTGCGAGAAAGTCAGAAAGGAGAGGGTGAGGGGTTGGACCATTTCCAGCTAAAGCTACCACCGCTTCGGAATATCCGGTATAAAACAATGCTTGGAAAGATGTAAAAAAAAACATGCATAACTATACGTGTACGAATCGCTTGTATCTGAGAGCTTATACATTCATGTTGTACTCAACATGATTAAAAAATATGTAACTCTCTGTTTTTTACTACAACCCGGGAATAGTAAAAATATTGTAAACGGTATGTAAATTTCCAAGTCGGCTTAATTTGCAAACCTTACCGTCTGTATGCGCTTTTTCGGAAACCCTCGACTCGCTAAGATCAACCACCGTATTTTCGACGTTATTGTTTCTATCGTCTAGGACGGTTGTGTTCATTAATGATTGTTATTCAATTATTGTAGTCCCCGGCAATTTTCTAAGAGTCTTGCCCGTTACCCACGAACCTATTTCATTGCGTGTCCCAGTGTGATGCATTATTCATTTTTAATAAACTCTCACAGCCATGGCCTATATTTTCATATGGTCACATATGTTATAACTAGTCATGGCCAATATATCCGGATTTTCTTAAAATTCTAAATCCGCTGAATTTCTTCCAATGTAATAATCATTTAGAGCCGTTTTTCTATGTCTTATTTAAGTAGTATTTTTTTCTCAATTTTTCAACGGTTAAATTTAATTTCATTTTATATGTTTAAGTATTTAAATAAACGAATAGCTTAACCAAGTATTCAGTTATTGTAACTGCTGTTGTCACTATATAGCTGTTAATAAAAAAAAAAATACAACCAATATCCGGATTTGTAGAGGAAAATTTGAAATCCGGATTTTATATTTTTGGATTTCGGAATTTAAAAATCCGGTTTTCTAAACTTCAGAAAATTCGGATTCTCCCATCACTAGTTATGACATAAAATACCATATATCTTATCCAAGATATATTAACCAAGTTCATTTACTGTTAAAAAATGTACTGCATTAAAATTGAACTTTAAATATTGCCCGATATCAATTAATCAAAATTTAATAAATTGAAGATAATTAGCAAGAAATAAAGTTAATTCTTACACGTGTTTTAGTTATCAATTCATTAAATTTTTCGTAGCCATTATTTATTTTATTCTTACGAAGAACACGGAATCTTCGTACAATCACACGGTTATATACAAAGAAATTTTACATTAAATTTATACACCATCGCAAAACGCTTCAACGAAAATGTAATTGGGTAAACGATTATACAAACAGTATATAATTGTGCTTATATAAATATAAGTACAGTATTTAATATTTTTTATGTTTTTTAAGTTTAACCGTTCGATCATGCTTACCATTAGTATATGCAGGTGAAAGGTAAGAGTTTGATTGTCGTAAGAATCTCCCTAATCTGTAATCTATTTCGTTTATGATAGGATTTTTAGTAAAATTATTCTAAAAGTTATTAAATTTCTAAGGTATTGTTAGTGAAATTTTCTGATCTGCGTAATTTAAAAATTCTCATTCATATTTTTTAACTCTATTGTAGTTATTGAGTTTTAAAATAATATTTTGTACAATTGTTAAGGAGCTCTGAAACTAAGTTAACCTTACAAATAAAAATATTCATATAGAATTTAAAAATATACATGTGTAAAGAGTGATATGTCTTGAAGTTCACTTTTTGTTTTATCTGTGAAATGTATAAAATATAAATATGATTCGACGGAAAGTCAAAAGTTTTTGATAAAGGGCAGTTCGAAGGTTTAATGAAATTTATGGAGAACAAAAACCTGAGGGAATATCGGATTTAGTGCATGTCTGAAATAAGCACTGCACTGGGGGTTTCGGCCAATGCTTATAAAAACTTAAAAAGAAAAACTTTTCACGATACACATGATATAGAAATTTTTATGTGTATGTATATAATAAAACGCAACTCCTTATGGGAAACATTCGGTATGTATTATTTTAACTAGAAGAAGAAAGTTGTTTAACCCGATAGTACAACTAAGTAAACTAAGTATTTAATGAAAATAATTAAATAACCTTATTTTTATCGAGTTTTTTGGAGTAAAAATAAAGTTACACGATTTTTATCGTTAGATTGTTAATAATGAAATCAATCATATATCAACTTACCAATTGTTTTGCATCCGAAAGTTGAACTGAATCTTTCCACCAAGTCACTAATGGTGGTGGCTTTGATCCTACTATACGACAGCTGACATTAACAGGAATTTCAGCAGATATCGGACGGTTTTCTCCAACCATTTTAACTGATAGTGGACGAACTGTAATTTCAAAATAAAAAATTAGTTAGACTTACAAAAAGTTATAAGAATCATATTCATAAAAATTAATTGAGTTATTTTTTTTATTAAAAGCAAAATAACTTAAAACACTGACTGTTCTTCTTTCTGAAAAATATAAAATTCTAATGTTGAGTCATTGTATTTTGTTGAAAAATAGTGTTTGGAGAAAAATGATATTGTATTTGCAATATTATAAGGTAAAAATAATATTGACTGATTGTTGCTTATTGTAATCGAATAAAAACAATAGTGTGTATTCACTACATTATGCCGAGTAGTCGAAACGGTTGAAGTGATTTAACGATTCGTAAAATTAATATTCGAAAAATAACTCTGATCAGACCAGCCGACGGTTTTATATTCAAAATGAAATATAATAACCATAACGTAAAAAGACTTTCAGCGTTGGAATTGATGAGGTCTAACACGGGCAATTTGCAAAACGTTGAACGGCAGCTGCTGTATTTTAGAAATGCCGGAAAAATGTCTTCACAGATTTTTCCGAGCAATATAACAATAGGTGCGTAGTATGATGTTCTACACATTGGGATCGGTTGAAATTGAATAAAAGTTGTTGAACCTAGCCCAGCCATTAGACATAATAATTTAGAATCGAATGAAACATTTTCCTGGCCTTTGATCGAGCGCACCCACTAAACCGTTGTACCGTTGGCTCAATAAATCGTCGGTAATGATAGCGCTATTGGAGAATATTGTAATCCAGGAAATCCGAAGATAGACTGCATAATAAATAACGACTGCTGGTTTTTGTAATGAGCAACGTTAGCATGTAATATGCGCCGTGGGCCGACATAAAATGTCAATTTTACATAATTATAATTATATAATAGAAGCTCAATAGCCACAGAATTTACAAACCATTTTAATTTTCGTTTGTAATCAATTACAATGATAAGACAATTTCTCTCAAAAAATACACTATTATAGTTAGAACTCTGCTGATATTTTGGATAGTTAAAGCATTAGAATAATTCGAAAAATGGAACTGTTTTCGGTTATTATTTTTTTAACGCTTTTGAATTTATTAGCCATAATAGGTATCAAATAGAACTAAAGAGCCCAGAGCAGTAAACGTTTAAAAGCGCCGAGGTGAGGTGGTAATTGAATACCGTTTCGTTCATCTTCTCTGTTATCTTCCGAAACCATCGTTCATTAATTTTTCCTACCCGTTATACTTTTAAACGGTTTTGGAGGCCTTTAAACACGTAATATCTTATTAAAGATACTTTTTCCTTATCTAAAATTTGATCGCCGAGAGGGAGTAAAAATCATTTTACGTTCCCCGCTGACTGTACAAATAATGGTCTTTCAAAAGTGAAAAACTTTTCCAGTGGACCTTTACGACTTTTAATTTGGTCGAACGACCACTACCACCTTCCCTGCCAATGTTTTGTACAAATGGCTTTTCTCAAACCATCAAAAAGCCCATTGTCCTTGCCATTGCTGATCATATTATATTATTATTATCTTATTATTGTTTTGTCTCGTTTTCTGTTTTTCATGACTGTATTTAGATAAAAAGAGAATACAAAATTAACTTATTTTGAATCTAAAAAAAATTAACTTTTCTCATTTCGTTCAACGATTACATTTGAATAATCTCATTTTAATTATTTAAATTATAAATCAAATTTATCATAATATATATATATTTATATTGGATCCAAAATAATGTCTAAAAACTCTTTTTAATAATCTACAATGAAAAGTTTTAACATTTTAAATTGACACATTAATTGCCAATTTTCTACGAGAATCGCTAAGATATATAATATAACATAATACATATTATTTTATTATTTCAATAGTTTTTTCATAAAAAATTAAGTAAAGTATTTTCTTGGTAATAAAAAAAAAATTATAGTAACTAACAAAAATAGGAAAGCCTTATAGTGATGGTTATACTAAACAATCCAGTAAATTAACATTTACAATGTATAACTATTAGTTAAATATCAAACAAAAATTTTGAAGAAAAAATGATCAAGACATTATAACTATTAACTTCTAAATGCACTTTTCGACAACTTAATTTTACTTTTATTTTATGAAATGTATAACCTGCGTAAATATTTGTAAATTCAACATCATAAATAAGCTATAGAACAATATCGTTTAAATAAATGTAATTAATTAATAACCGGTGTATGAAAATTACCACGTAAACACTCATTTTATTTTTAGCTTCAATGTGAGAAGGTATTAATTTTACTATAATATGTTTTACTTTTTTTTTTTTAATTTTTTCTGTCTGTTACCACTTTTTCTCAGCTCTCACCGAACCGATTTCTTTCAACGATACGTCAAAAGATCACAAATCGTAACTAGTCGAATACATTTCCCTCGAAAATTAAAAAAATTTCCTTCGTTCCTCGTAAATGGGGGCAATCTCTAAATTGCCATAACTTTATCAAAAATGACCAAATCAATATAATTTTCTTTTATAGATACATAATGTCTTTACCTATCATTTGGTATATATTTTTTTATAAATTTGACCCTTTACTTGCCCACAGTAGGGAATTCAAAATGACAACTTTTTCACAAAAAATTAACTTTTACATTTAACTTTTGAAAGTGTTCCGGAAATATTGACATATTTATATATACATTAATTATAGCTTAAGTAATATACTTTATTATGGAAAAAAATGTCGGTCTTAATTTTGTCTTCTCAGTAAAACGGATATCAAACTTATTCAAAAAAAATACGATTTTTGTAAAAAAATTCTATTTTATATTTTGACGCTATAACTTTTTGAAAAATATATAGATCAATACAATTTTTTTATGAAAAATAATATTTATATACCTCTTTTTTTTTTTTTTAAATAAAATCATTTCCCTTTATATATTATAAATATATTACACTTATAAATCATAAAACTTGTAAACTGTATATAAATATGGAAATAGGAAATCATGTAAAGATACATAGCTTTTGGAATAATCCAATAATTTTTTGAAATTACACATTATCTACAGATTTGCATTGAAGCGTTTTTTTATGATAGTGATTTTAATCACTGTCAGATATCATTATACTTGACCCAACTATGCCAGGTCCCCACTTTGTCGCGACCCCACTGTGCTGGGTTTTTTTTTAATGCGTTGTAAACGCAGTCATATATTAATATATAAATTAATTTTGCTTTCACACAACTTTGCGTGAAAGCATAAACCAAAAGTACCTAGAAGCAAAAGAGAAAACGATCAGGTTAAGTTGTGCTGTAGATATTGGTTATGTTAGTAATAGAATAGGGATCAGGTCGTTGTACAGTTCCTTCTTTCAAAAGTACATCGTCGACGTCCTTTTGCTGACCAATTAAGCCGAAATCGCTTTATTGTTGTGTTATAAAAGGGGTAATCTGGAATGCAATTAAATTTTATACATAGCCGAGACCTAAATATTACTGCTGTTTCTCGGATACGGGTATAAGCGCGTGTAGAGCATCGGGAAATGGAAGAGGGTACTCGAAACGACGTTTTTATCGACCGATTTACGATCGACAACCGTACAACAGTAGAGGCGACAGCGTAACCATGTTTACAAGAAGGCCAATAAAACTTCTATTCGTTTCAGTCGGGTGATTAAAAAAGAAAAACATTCTTATAAATTGGATAATTACAGACGAACAAAATGTGACAATGAACAAAATTAAGCAAATTACTCGTTTTTTATAACAATATTTTACTTGCAGCTAACTAAAAATCAAATTATTTTGTAGTAAACGCTTAAAAGATAATGATTCGTTGTCTACGGTGTTGACGAGAAATCTTTAAAAACTTATTTTTATAAAAAAAATTAATTGTGCTCAAGATTATTTCTACTGATGACACGAAATCATGATTTTTACATAACAAGATATATCATGGAGTTTCAATTTCACTTTCCTTTATGAATAAGCTCCTAGTTGTTTGAGAAAAATACAAATTCCATGCATCGACTAAATGAACCTAGCGGTTTAGTGTATAAGCTCCAATAATTTTATAAAATTCATAATTTACATTTTTATAAATGTATTTGTCCAATATCTGTACGAGGAGAAAATGTCTAGAAACCATTCATTGATAAATACTAAAAAGTCAACGATTTTGTAATGACAACAATCAATAACAACATTGTTATTTTTCAATTTATTATTTATGAGATGACGCGTACAATTATAACTCATGTATTTTAGCGTGTTTAAATCTCGATGGCGACTCGACTGGTCTAAACGTTATTTTAAGCGCACGGCCTGGGAATTGTTAAAAATTATACAACCAATACATGTTAAAATTTTCCGGCGCCTAATTATTCAGATCATTTGACAGTTTATCAACTGAGCGAGCAACAAATGTGATCTCGTTTTGCTTTCGATGTTATTGTAACCATAGTGTATGAGCAAAATTAATATTTCTAGTTAGACGTGACCGTAAGCAAGGGCAATTTTGCCATGTAAACGCCATTGGTTTGTCGGCTGCTGTTTGATAAAGAAAGGCAGTTGGAAGTGGTAAGGAACGCAGTAAATTACTGACGATGACTCCACAGCCAATCTCTAGGTGTAATGTAGGAATACTGGATTCGCCATCAAGTGCAAGCCAACTCCCTTTGCCGGGGGATTTCCTGAGCTATACAAGGTGTAATCGTGCACCATAAATCTGTCACGCAGTGATAGCTCGACAGTACCAGTAGCAATTCACATTAGGGATTTTACACTCGCCCATAGTTTAACCTAAATAAAAATGTTTTAATCATAAATAAAATTGTGCGAGTGCATATTTTCAATTAAATTTCATTACTCAAATTATTAAATTTCATCCGAAAAATACGTTATGATTTTTTTAAAAATTGATAAATAAAGTGTGAATATAGAATTGATATAAATATACTCTAATATATAGAGTGTCTGATACTTCACTGATATCACTTTTATCACTGATATAACTTTTGATACAATTATCGTTTTGCTGAA